GGGCGGGGAGGAGCGGGCCGGGAGGGCCGGAGCTCCCGGGCGGCGGAGGTGCCGCCGCAGCCGCTCCTCCGCCGGCAAAGTTCGGCTCCGCGCTCGGCCCTCCCGCCGCGCCCGGGACGGGCTATCAGGGCAGCGGCGCCTCCAGCCTCGGGAAGGCTCTTCAGCGACTACAGCCCTGAGGTGCCGCCGAGGGAGGACACGGCCGCAGGGGCAGAGCCCCAAACAAGAGAAGCGGCTCTGAGGAAAGACAGTCCGCCCCATTCTTTGTTTGTTTGGGTTTTTTTTATTTATAGAACTTTAAGAAAGGATACCTCTCTCACTTTAGTACATACAAAATATCTTAGTCAATATTTGGTTTTTACTCTCGCTGCACCCTTTTCAAAAACGTTGTGTTTCCATATACTATTTCTTTCATCGCTATGCGCTGTTTTGGGTCAGACACTAAAATGTGGCCGTTTCCCTGAGAAAGAGAAAAATAAAGATGTGGCTTGTGGGCGCCTTTAACCGTTCACAGCTCGTCACGGAAGATGAAGAGCTACACAAATGGAAACAGTTTTTAAAGATCTGCCTAGGTTTTTTTAAAGATCTTCCTAGGTACAGTGTCCTGGCGAGACTAGTGACAGGAAAGCATTTGCTCAAAGCTTGGAAGAGCAAAAGTTTCAATCCCAGGAATGTTTCTGCTTCCTCATTTCAACACTATCACTCCTGTTCCGTTTTCCAAACAGTTCTCTTGGGGAATGCAGTCAGCAAACCGCCCCCAGTCACACTGGAAAGCGGTGACAGCAGCCAAGATAGAGATCAAGTTAAGGAAAAGTAACATTAATTCATTTATTATATTTCCAGTGTAATATATTACATTAAAATTTTCGATGTGAATTTTCTTTTCCTCCTGGGCTTGCCTTTGTTGTATAACCCATACACCAGGAGCGGAGAGGAAGCTGCTCACATGCACCTCTTCTTTAAAAACCTTAATATCTGTGCTGGCTTGTAAATGCAAGGTTATTAATGATCAAAATTACTCTGTGATTAAAATAGAGCAGACAACACACCACTAAAAAGACATTAATTTTTTATTAATACCCAAACAGAGAAAAGAAAATGTGCATAACGAACAAATGTTTGAAGAAACACACTAGAAGGACACAAAAAAAGAACACTATTGACATAGGTAAGAAACCAAACAGAGGGATTGCACATTTCAGCGTTCAGTATCACCACACGCTGTGTGTGAACAGCAAAGTATCGTGCCACATATTTTATGAGAATGAAGTTTTGTATAAGTTGTGATACAGTGAAACTTGGTCTCATTTTTAAAATAACTATCAAATTAACAGATAAATTTTCTCTGCTGGGTTGAGAAGGAATACATCTTCAAAACAGGATAGTGCTTTGCTTTTACTTCAATATATTTATTGCAAACAATATATTCATTTTTATGTAATAAACAGATTTCAATCTCCCCAGGTAACTAGAAAACTATTTACAACTTAATTCAACTACAGGCTACCTGATCAACTAACAAATGATATTAAATGCTTTTCTCCAGCATTAAGATTGCCATTATTACAAACACAACTAAACTTTACCTTAGAAAGTAACAGTAGTAAATCTTGCTTTGTTTCAAGTTAGTTTTTCTTTTAAAGAAAGGTACTGAAATTATCTATTCAGATCTGTGTTCTAAAGGCAATCACAGCAGTACGTCACAAAAATATACACAGATAGCAGGGAAATTTCAAATAAAAGTCATTAAATTACTTTATTTGAGCTTTCTTAATAAATTTTAAGATATATTTGTTTTGTATATGTATAAATATATGTGCAGAACTAGTATTTATTGAGTTATGCAAAGAAAAAAGCATGCAACCAAAAGGAAACATTACAGACTATGTGAAGTCAGGTATCTGAAATCAAGTATCACGGATCACTGAAGGCTGTAATTTCTTTCTTCATTGCCTAAGAAGAAGAAAAGACAAATCAGGAGTCATGTGAATAGAAGCTTAAGAACCCTGTTTACCTCTTCATCAAAAGAAGGAAGAATCTGTATATACATACAGTAGTTAATAATAATTTAGCTGCTTCTGCCATCACATCATTCTATACCCATTGGCTTCAAACACATCCTTATGCACCCAAAATAGTGTAGGCTAGAAAAACTGCAGGGATCTGTACCAAGGGGCTATGGATCTCTATCAATGGTGCTTTTAACAATTAGAAAGAAGACAGTTCCCCAAGAGTCACAACTAAAAGCTGTAACTGTTCTTTTCTCAATAAATACTTGTTAAAGTCTCTCTCTTCATACAGTAGAACTTGCTCCTGGACTGACTTGTGCTGTCATTCTGAATAGGAGATATTTTTTTTCATCAAAGCTCAAAGTAAAAGTTGAAAACAAACAAAGAAATCAAGTCCTGTCACAAAAGCACACAAGCCCCAAAGGTAACAAACAAATCCCTTTTCATGCTAAAACATATCATTATTCTAGAAGAAATGGGTGCCTTTATCAGAATGGCATCCCTGGATTCAAATAATCCTCACTGTTGCACAATTAGAGTGGAGTGTCTGTTCTAACTCTTTATTGGGCATGGAAGAAGGGATCAAGATGACCAGGGCCAAAGAGAAGAGGCTTCCTGGTTTTTTTAAGGAAGACTGAGAGGCATAAAGAATTTCTTCTATTTTTAGGCACAACCACCTGAAACACAAATGGATTCCAGGACCCTGAAGCTGAAGACTGAATATCCAACCTATCTAAATCAACTCAATACTGGGAATGCCTGACTGGGACCATGGGTTTCTCTGAAATATTTCTGACAAGTTCTGACAAGTCGGAAATCCTCTCTTAGAGGACGAGATTAGAGAATTTGACTCATTAGCATTCTTAAACCGTCAGAGGCAGGAAGCTCCCCACATATGAAATTAAAGATGCTTGAGCTATGCTAGTTAAAAAGAAAGTCTGGTGAGACTAGAGACTAAAGTCTCTAATTCTCCTTATGTTTCATAATTAATTTCTTTTCTGGAATGAATGGAATGAATACTATACAAGTGTTACCATGTGTGACTGCCCACAAGGGGAGAACGAGTAAGCGACAGACTGAGAAAAGCACCCTCCTTTCCCAGCCCCCCACCCTCGAAAAGGTGCTGGAGCAGAACTAGTCAACTACTTTGAGAGGGCTCTCTGAGGGCACCCAGCATCTTAAAGACTTTTCCTGCTGGAACTGCCAACCCTGAAGCCAAATGCAACAATGGATAAATGTTTTCCAGACTGAAATGAACAAGTCTTGTAACAGAGGCAACTAAGCAGTAAAGAGTAATGCTAAGTAAGTGTGATGTTCACAGGGCACACATACACATGTGTAACACACACACGTAATAATGGCAGAAAGTGCTCTAAGACAAAAGAAATTACCTTCACTAATTCCTTTTTGTCGCCATCTTCCCGGTGTTGGTAAATGCACTGGCTAAGAACAGCGTATAGTTTTTCCATGCGAAATATACTGACATTCTCAGTTAGCATGGCGATAGAATGCAACACTCGCTGAAGAAAAAAAATGGATATGAGTTCAGAATAGCACAAGATAAGCTGCAAACAGAAAAGGTAGGACATGGCACAGGTGCATGGCCAACATCCTACATGAAACTATTTCTAACTGCTGCCATATAGGTGACTGCATGCTCTTCCATGTGTTCATTAGGTTCTAGGCTTATTACCAAGCAAATAAACTATAAAAAAACCCCAAAACAACCAAAACCCCAAACAAAAAAAATCACCCCAAACAAAACTGAGCAGCTACAGATTGGAGGTTCACCCAGCTTACTGACTGCAGGTGAGTTCCAAAGAAGGTCTCTGGCACAAGCAGCAAGTTTCAATGACACCCATGTTAAGGAAACAAGTTTTCTAAAAGACATATTTCGTGACTGTAGCTCTGTCCTCACAGCTGGAACATCTGTAAGGGCTGTACCATACAACTTATCCAGCAGGCAACAACTTAGCACGTGCTATTAGCACCCTGGCTCTAGAGAAACCTATGTGGATTCTCTACACACACAGGCAGATAGGAAGAAGAGCTTCCTCACGATGGGAAGCAGAGGGGCAGGCACCAATCTCTGCTCTCTGATGACCAGTAACAGGACCCAATGGAACAGCATGAAGCTGCGTCTGGGGAGGTTTAGGTTGGATATTAGCAAAAAGTTATTCAGAGTAGTTGGGCACTGGAACAGGCTCCCTCGGGATGTAGCAATGACCCCAAGCCTGACAGAGTTCAAGAAGTGTTTGGATGATGCTCTCAGTCACATGGTGTGATTCTTGAGGTGTCCTGTGCAGGGCCAGGAGTTGGACTCGATGATCCTTGTGGGTCACTTCCAACTCAGGATATTCTATGATTCTATGAACAAAATCTCATGAAATTTGCTTGCTTAGGAAGCCAGCCTTAAGAAGTTAGTTTCCCTCTTTTCATTCCATTTCTCATCATGGTATGTAAACAGCAGCCTGCCCTGATTTGACCTCCAGGACCTCAACCTATCAATTTCCCAAATTTCCCTCACTGCAACATCTCCTGAAGAAGGCCAGGTCCTTCTTCTACCCTCTCCAGTTCATGCAAATGAACTTTGCTTAACCCCATGCAGCTAGGTCCATTTTTGACCCTTTCCCCAGCTGTATCCTAGGATAGCACCTTCTCTCCTACAGGGAACTGGAAAAGCCTTGTGACACTGTACCTGTATGAACGCAAAATTCTAACGCTGGATTTTGAAAGCATTCGAGAAAAAGCAGGTATTAATATTTTATCCAGGGTGAGCTTTGGGTTAACCCAAACTTCAGGTTAACTTCAGGTTAAAAGTCATCACTGCTAAAAATCAAGGTCTTTCTCCAATTCCTAATAAATGAAAACGTGCAAACAGCAAACCAAAACAATGCCCAATCCATCATAAAAATTGCCAAGACATTAATAACCAACGGTACTAGCAGTGTGTGTCAGTGGGATATTTTAAAATTTAACAAGACCTGTTACACTAAAACTAGGGAGAGAACCCAGTCTCCTGAAATTTAGTTCACCAAAAGCAACAACAGCAGTCTAACCAGCTGTGGAAATAATGGTCATAGTCTATTACAGGTTGAATTATTTCACAAACCATATATCCCTCCCATAAATTGTTTGAATTTGCATTGGTTAACAACTGATTTCATTTCCAATTCTAAATGTAGCAAGAAAATGTTCTACTTCAGTATTAATAAAATTGAAATTTAGACTTACTTTGAGCTCACAGTAATCCACAAACACGCTCTGTGTGCCAATTTTCACGGCTTTCCTGACACCAGCCAGCTGTTTTTCTTCCACCTGAGAACATCTCGCACGAGTCACACGCTGTACCCATGAATCTGGAACAACACAGATTCCTTAAGCGGGATTTCTCTTTATTTGTAATATATAGTATGAATGAAGTATCCTGTACCTGGAAAAGAGTACTTCTCTGCAATAACAGAGACAGAACTGTTACCATTTTTCACTGATAAATGCTTGACTTTTACATTCTTTCTAGCAAAAGTCACTGCTCCATAAAAACTAGAAACTTGCAAACACAAAAAAAAAAGCACTAGACAAAAAGGCAGGTAAAACCAGGAAAAAAAACCAGTCACACTGCCAGTACAGCACTGCACAGTAAAACTCCAAAGTAATTTAGGTTAGGAAACACATCTTACACCGCAAACAGTAGTTCGTCTCTTCTATTTCACACAGGACTGGGTCCTTACTGCTTGAAGTACAGCTTTTAACTTACACTGCTTATTGCTGGGAAGATCCTCATGCAATAAAAGAAAGCCAACGATTGTTTTTCAATTAGATACCATTTGAAAAACAAAACTGCAGAATCAGAAATCCAGCAGCTGCAGAAAAACACAAGTTTGGCCAGCATAACTCAAGGGGCAGCACCATTATGCAAGAAACACTGTGTCCTGATTTGAGAGAGACGCAGCAGATAGAACAGAATTCAAGAAGGCTAAAATCTAGTAATTGTTATAACCCTCCTCAGGAAGAAAAAGGAGGTAAATGACCCGTTTGACCTTTCACTTACCATTTGAACCTCCATCTTCAGAAGTTCCGGCTTTTTGGCAATCTGGCATTTCACTCTGCTCTCTTAGGTCTGACTGTTCTCTCTTCTTTCCAGAAGGAGATTTAGCCACAAGGAGAACTCTCTCTCTTTCATTTTCTGTCTTGTTTTTCTGTCGTTCTTGAAGTACATTTTCAAATTCTTCAATAGGAGCATCCTGGGAGGATGCAAATTCAGTGCAATCCGTGTTAGACTCTTCACTACTCTCTACTTCAGTTTGGTCTTCAGGAATTTTATTCTCTTTATTGAACTGAACATTCCTCTTTGCTACAAATCTCGACTTTCTGTTGTTTTTGCGTTTTCTTCTTGACTTATCTACAAAGAGATACAAGAAAAAGTCATCCAAAACATTACCATAACAGTTCTTCCTTCACAATCCAGCATCCTCATCTTACTTGACTTACAAGGAAAATGACCAAAGGAGCTCAAGTACCATTGTCCGTCTCCCTACATATGTCTGGAGAAAAAGTTGCAATTTAATGGGGTCAATTTGCTACTAGATGTAAAGAAAAAAAGTCAGCTACAGAATTTCATGCACAAAACTATCAGCTTCAAGCTGTTATGAGCAGAAAATTCTTACTTTAGTTAGGAAGTATTACTGCAAAGCAAGGTTATTAGGTGACTTAGTATGTGATCTAATACAGGTGAACAACAGAAAAGCATTTGGAGAGGAGTCCTTCAAAATCTCTAAATCTGTAAACTTCAGAAGCTATACATATGTTGGAAAGAGTTGAAAAGACACTTTTAAAGGAATATGTGCTGAGAAAAAAAATTGTCCACAAAGATTTATGCCTCATGGGCTTTCTGATTCAGTTAACCTTGTTCAAAACAAACTTGTTTTTTTGTCTTCCAAAAAACCCACCATTCTTTGTACTCGTGGAGTACCACACAAAGCCTACGGGTCAAGTCAGAGGCAAAATTCCCTGACATGCCACCAAGACCAGGAAACTTCACACCATGTCATGTGTTTTAACTGAAAAAGACCCTAGGGCCTTTGTTTTTTCATGTCCTTTCCACAGAGAAAGTGAAGAAATAATGATTATTGATCCCCTGTTTTTTAACCCTTCCCCCTTCAATTGAAAATCATGGTAAGAGGGCAGGGAAGGGGAAAACACTGTTTCATGTAACTAAACACTAGTTAAGTATTCAGAAACTGCCATGTACAACATTTTTACTTCAAGAGGTAGCAATGTAAGAGCCATTCAATGTCAGTTGGTCCAGTGCCTTACAATGTCAACCAGCCACTTGAACCTCATAACCACACTGAAGGAATGACCCATGTTTTGAAACATATTAATAAATTTAATGCCTCTGGCATGAAGAACCAAGCATCACAGAAACATGTTGGGTCACAAGAACAGAGAATGTAGCAGTCCCTTCAGCACCTTCTCCAAGAAAGTCTGAATAAAACGCATCTTGCCTTTAGAGCAGGGGGTACTGGCATTCACAGGCACTGCTGGCATCTTCGATTTTTCATTACACTTTGGGTCTGTTTTCTTACACGCAGGAACAGAGTCCTCCTTTGGCATTACACAGAAGTAAGAGGAAGCACAGTCTGAACCTTGCAATAAATAAGAGAGAGCAAAGAATTGTGTCTTGTGTGCCTGGTTACAAATACTGAGTCAAGTCTTGAAATCCTCAGTGTCACAAAACATACCTCTTTTCTTCCGAGATTCTTTAATTTCTTGGCAGCGTTGCTCAAAATCTTCATCCATTTCTTCCCTCACTATGGAATATGCAGTATCTCTCAAGGCACAAGCTCTGTGCCTAAGGAGACGATCTGAAATTTTACAGTCAAAAAGCAGCAGTTACTGATCAACATGTCTATCACAATTTTCCAAATAGTTTATTTAATGCTACAGCATTCACAACCTGGCAAGAAATTCTCTTTGAGGATGTTTAAAATTATCTAATCCCACATCTACTGTCCACAGATTACATTTATCAATTTACACATTTAAAATTTTTACAAATTAGGGATAAAACCACATCCTCACCTCCAGGATCTTTAACTGGATTGTACTCTAAAGCATTGCTACAGATTAGATCAATGTCTTTTAGAAAATCTTTTGCAGTTGGGTACTGGTGCATGTCAATCTTGGAGAGAACTGTTGAGAGGTCCATGGGCTGTTTAATGACAGCATTGTAATCAGGTACCTACAGAGGAAACATAAGTGCTTGTAGATTTAATGCAGTAGCCATGAAGAGTAATTATTTTCATAAAGTCAAATAAAGGACTTCTTAAAAACCCCAATATGACACATCCAGAGATGCAGAAATTACCCAGTTAGTTCCTTGAAAACAGAAGGGCTATTTCACCTGGCTTTGACAAGACAGACTAGAAGATAGGGAAAAAAAAGGCAGGGAGGTCAGAAGCGTAAGAGGCAGAGAAGGGAACTGGCACCCAGAGTGATATTCATTTCACTTCCTTTCAGAAAATAACAACAAAGAAACCTCTCAGTAAAGTCACCTGAGAGTCTTTGTTAGCAGCAAGAAAAAGGCTGCAGGAATTGCACCTTTCAAACACCTGTCCTGGGCACCTACTTTAGAATGAGATAACTGGACCCAGAGGTGCCAATTTCTTTATTCAGACCACAAAAGAAGCCTAATGGGTAGTTTAGATGAGGACATCTATGTTTGTTCAGATTATTCACATCTCAGAAGCTACAAGGAAAGGAAATGACAAGTCAGTGGATGCTTAGGGGAACAGGACTTTGCTGAAATACAAAGCTGTCTCAAAACTGCAGCTGACTTTGAAGTACATGCCTCAGCTTCAATAAAAGTATATGGGAGGATGTGAGAAAGTGGATTATTATATTCATTAGTGGCTTGGACCGACTCAAGTGTGTGTGGGGCAGGGGGGGAAAAAGGGGCACACCTTTTTGTGAATGGTGAACCCACTGTTTTCTAGACTCATTTAGCTGGATCTAGAGATGGTAGCTATATTCCTCTTTTTTTCTCTCTTTCTTTACTTTTTCTTCACCTACTCTTCTTTTTTAATATTTTGGGCAACTTAGGACCAGATGGGCTGGATTTGCTAAGTTGTATGTGTTAGCATGTGCTAAGTCAACGCTTTGTAGAATGCTTTATTTTGGTTCTATGTTACCCTGTCAACTTTTGCCAAGTTCCCTTATTTTCTAAAGTGTGCCAGTAAAAGTAACCTCTGAGAAAACGCGTACAGCTTTTCTCCTATGCATTCTCTCTGAGGTGTTAAAAGAGCCAAACGCTCTTCTAATATATTTGGAGGGCAGATATTGTTGAAGCCTTGTATATTTTTAAAGTAAAACCCCTTTAGCGAGCTTCTTGCTCAAGACTTGGGGTCTTACAGAGGAATTAAAACACATACAAGCCCATATGGTTGATCTTATACCAAGGAAAGCCCCCTGAGAATAGAATCTGAAAATTTATTTGGCAAACTGCTGCTTCTACTCCTGTTCTTGCAGAAATTATTGACAGATAATTAAAGAGCTTTAGGCTTTACTAAAACAGCCCTAGAAGTACTATTTATAGTTACAGAGAGAAAGAAAGATTTCTGCTTTTCAGTGCTGTAACACACCTACATATCAAAGCCTTTTCATGAGCAAACTGTATTGGCATTTGGTGTAAATGGCACTTGGACTAGATGATCCTTGTTGGTCCCTTCTAATGGAAACACTCAAAGACCTTGGAGAGCCCCACAGAGCCAACAGAAGTAAAAGCAAAATTCACTTCCAGCTTCCTGGGAATTCAGAATATTACAGTCCTAAAAACGGAGATAATTCTTCCTAGAAAGAGCACACAAACACCAAGGAACACACACACAGAAACTGTGAATACACACAGCTATCATGGTATTGCAGATCAACAATAATTTACCTCCTCTGGGTCAACAGGCTTTGTAAATGCTCTGAAACGTCTATCAATGACCAGTCTGTGAGTCACGTCCCTTAAGTAAATCCTAAGTTCACGCAACGTATCCTCTTCCTGCTCCTCCAGCTGTCTCATTTCTTCCTCTGTCAGCTGTCGAGGCTTAGGTGGTGGTGCTACAGGCAGGACTTCCAATGGCCGCCGAGCTTCAATTAATCAGAAAATTTTAGTCAATTGGTGGTACTCAAATACAAATCCATGAAAAATGGTTGATAGAAAATTACCCCCAAAGCAAAACACTGTTAACTTACAGTTAGCAAAATTTTATACTTAGAATATCCTCACCTGCATTGTTTTTTGATGCAGGAGGTTTAGTAGCTTGCTTCATAACTAAGTCTTCAAAAAAACTTCTTCTTTCAGCACAGGTAGGCCACTGGATTTTGAAAACTTCTTCACAGTCATTATTAAACAATACTTTTATCTAAAGCATGAGGAGAAAAGGTATTTCAGATATAAGGCCACACAAATTCTTTATATTCTATTCCAAAAAGATGAGTACCTTCCTAAATTTAACTGAATATTCATCTGGATAAGACAAGCTATGAAAAGTTATCTTCTTGGCCTTAAAAGGCTAGATTTTCATAACATGGCAAATTAAAACACCTGCTCTGAGAAATACCTTCTACAGTTTAGGCTCCATGAAAAAAAAGGTATGATAAACCACTAAGAAAGGGGTCACATTCATCACCTCCAAGGCTGCTTATTTTGTATTTACCTGCCTTGCTGTCCTTTAGCTTGAATATGGCAACAATAGAGGGAACGGGCAAGGTTCAGCTGACCAGTGACAGCTTTTTGGTAAGATGGCTTTATAAATTTTATTTTTAATTAATTTCAGTGAGGTGTCCAAAGTTGCGCGCTTCCAAGTTGTACTCCATTTTCCCATCTCTATTACCAGAAGGTATGGAAGGAATTTTATTCCTTAATTTAGAAGGCATTTATTAATAGTATAAAAACTACTGCTACCAAGACAAAATGATCAGAGCAGCATACCCACATTTTGAACATCTTCCTTTAATGCACACTCTCCGGTGTTTTTTCTGAGATCACAGTACAGCTTGGGGGGGGGCAGTTGTACCACCAGAGATGTCTAGGAAGCTCAGCATGTACTCTTACTGAATTTTGTTAAGCAATATAACTAAAACTTGATTTCCAAGCTACTGAAATGGAATTTGGATCCTAGCTTTCTAGCATATAAAGAAATCAAAATTTTTATGAAATTATTTAAATTTGAAATGATATTCCATCAGTAACAGTGTGACTACTGTACTTTTTCAGTAAAAATGTTTTCAGAAACACAATCTTTTTCCTAGCTACATCTCAAGCACCTTATATTCTTCACCAAGTACACACCTAACCATACTGAATCACTGAAATGAATGCTTAAGCAAATTTGTACATCTGTCTAATAAGCATGAATGTGTGAGAAGGGTGAAAGAGTTGGGCCAAAGTCAATCTCTTTACTCAGAAAACATTTCAGACAAATGCTTTCACCATTGTTTTGTCTAAGCAGATTTCAAGAGACTGGGTTTGGGTGCCTAAGTAATAACAGACAGGCACAGTACTCCAGGCTTCCAGGAGTTATAAATTAACAAGCAAAAAAGGAAGAGTGAAAAAGGAAGAAAAGTATGGACAGAAATACCTCTTCTGGGAGATCTTCATGTTGCACATCAGATGTTGCAAGAAGCAAAACTGGAGCAAACGTTGGAACGTTCTGCAGTAGTGTCGTAAAAACAGCTCTCACTGTAGGTCCAACAGTCTCCCACCACAAAGGGATTTGTGGGACATACATGATACTTGGTGCTGTTCTTTGAGCTTCTTGCATTAGCTGGTGAAATTAAAGCGTGGTTAAGAAAACTACATCATGTAAAATAGGCTACTACATAACTACCAGTCAAACTGTCTTATGTAAGAGGAGCACATGATGTCAAAACATCAAGACAAAACAATAAATGAACAACTCCTTCACAATAAAGTAAAATTTCACTTTGACTCAAATATAGACATTGCTATGCAGACAGAAACCAACTACCTGATTTCAAAATCTCTACCTCATTTCAAAACTACTTAGGTGTAAGATAACTCCTAAAGAGCCTCAGAACTCAGCCAATGTGGTGGTGTACCTGAAAAAACAGGACTAACCCTTCAGCAAGATGCATTAGCCTGGAGAAATGGCCACACTTGTGACCACAGCATTTTCAGTTCAGAGCAGGCACACACCCAAGACAGACAGGAGCACAGACTGAACAAAGACCTATGTGAGAAGACAAGGGCTGGCACAGTACAATAAACCTGGTTGCAATTCATATTTTCAAGCACATTTTCTAAGAGGTGACCAGTCTTTAGCCTGCCTGAAGAGCTAAATCACTCAACTTTTCATTACCAAAGGATCCACCAGACGAGATGATGTGCTTTGGAAGAGGACAAGCCACTGCTTTCAGGTGGCACCTCAGTCACAAAAGACAACATGCATCTACTGCATGAGGGAAGTGTCAACAGTCCTTTCACATAACAAATTTCTCCATGGACCCTGTCAGATTAAAAATATTCACGGAGTTCCTATTGCAAGGTGGGAAGCACATGCGGTATGTCCAGGCAGTGACTAGAGAGGGTAGTTACATGTCCAAAGATCCCACAACAAAAAAGGAATTGTTCCTCCTATGTGACAAACGAGTATCCAGTCATGGAATATGTCTGTCCTGACTCATACAGCTCCTGAGTGCTGCTACTAGAGGTCAAAATATTTTAATACAAAACGGATTTCCTACCTAAAACTGAAAAGAGGAAAACAGCACTAATCTGCTTTTATTTAATATTTCTAGTTAAGGAAAGCACACCAGTGTACATGAATTTCAATGCCTTTACTGCATGTACTGCAGCAGTAGAAGCTGTATACATAAAAAAAATAAACACTTCCCCAAAACCTTGACTGCCCTACAAATATAATAAAAGATAAGGCTTCAGAAAGTTCAGAAAGATGCCATCAGGTTGATGCAGTGCCATCTACTGGGAGCACAGAGCATTAAGAAGCAATAAAAACTTTCTGGATCCCACTGAGATCAACAGGATTTCTTGCCACAGAGAAGGCTTTATTAGCAGCACCTCCCTTCTTGCTGAGCTGCTAGCAACATCCTCCCTGTTTCATTTCAAATGGAAAACATGGTTATATATAATATCTTTATATGGTATCATTTCATCTAGAAGAAAAGTGGATTTCCAGACAGAAGTAAATATAACAGTACATTCAAGTCAGGCCACCTCCAAAAACAATGAATTTTGCTTATTTCACTAGTTTTTATACAGTTCATGAATCCTACAAGACTAAAGAGAAAAACAGATACCTGTGCACATGTTTCTTCCGGGGATGTGGTGCTAACAAACAAAGCAGGCAGGTCTAGTGTATAAACAGGAAACCTTTCCAGGGCATGTATCACTGCAGGTGCCAAATGAAAAGCTTGCCCACACCCTGGATCTTCAACTAATAAGAACCGTGGTCTGAAAGATGTTGGCTGGCAACGAGGATTTCTAGAACAGCAAGAAGAAAACACGTTTAAAAACGAGTGATTAATAGGCACACAGATGTTAACTTTTCTTTCAGTGTTTTAACAAACTATTTCTCATTCATATTTTTTTTCTGCTACGTAATCTGCTACTGGTTTAACAGTCTTGGAAGGCAGAAGGGCAAAAGATGGCTACATAAACCCACAGGGTTTTTTCTTAAGCTAAAAGGGCAGACAGTGCATTTTTTGGGGCTCGAGCCTTTCAAGGAATACCATGAATTAAATCAGCATGTTCTAATAATCTGTGGATCACTTTGACTTGGGAAAATAGGGTTGGACCATTCAGTTTGATGGGTCAGGGCAGTGCACTCAGTTAGAACATTAGCATCTCGTTGGATCTTTGCACTTACTTCTTGCAAATATTGATTACCTCCTCCACACTCATCACTTCTTCACTCAGCACCTCTCACAACAAAACAGTTTACAGACCTGACCATCTTAAAAATATAAACATAAAGGGGACAAACATGGACCTGCTAAAAGTGAGGAATTCTGCCTTTTCACGATCAGGCACTTTATGAGTTGGCCTCTCTTCAAAAATTGATGGTGACTCCTCATCAGTGTCAATCACATCATTTCCTAAAACAGGAAGACATGAGATCTCTGTTAACTTTCCTAAATAGTCCAAATCTCACTCTTGCATTAATACACCTTTGAAATCAGTGCAGGAAACCATTCTCTACTAATCCATCATTTTAGAGTACACACTGAATGCTATTTTCTGAAAAGTTCATTCTACCAGACCTAAAGCTGTCCTACATCCCATGATTTGCATAAGGTATTATCTCTCTTTTGACGAAAACTTGAGAGGCTTTTTCCCTTAGAATAAAGATGATTAGGAACAACTACTGTAGTTCATAGACACGTGAAAAACACAATGAGGCCACTTCTTTTTGGAACAGGTTCCCCCACTAGATGTGGAGAAATGAAGTGAACCTGACGGCCACAGGCTTCCATTTGTCCATGACAAGACAGTCAGAATACAAAGACCACCTATCTTCTAAATAAGGCTCCTCAAAGATCACCAAAGGAGGAGATAATGGGAGGCAGACAAGAGAGGGGATGCAACTACTCATTTCCCAGCCCCCATGCTTTCATTGTGTTGGTGGGTTTCTGCCTCTGTTTTACCAATGCAAACAATCTACCAGCTCTACTGGGAGGATATTCTCCAGGGATTAGCATGGTAACTAACTATTCCCAGATCTCCATTAATCAGGAGATTTTATCAATATTCATTTGTTCTCACCAACTGACAAACTAAACCTGGTCAGGGCTGTCTCAGTCAGGACCACGAGCTCACTTATGCTATGCAAGCCAAGCCCCAAAGTACACGCTACTAAAATATTCTGATTTCATGTGCAAGTGTACACTGTGACCCATATATTTCAGTTAAGAGACCATAATGGCTAAAAGTCATGATAGCTAAAACTGTATTTAGCTTAAACAACTTCTACCATGGTTCTGACATTCTTCAGACAGGAATTAGAAGCATTTATGTAACAATACTCTTCTCCTTGCATGTAAGCATTTATTTGGAAAGAGGTGCTCATATATTAAACTTCTGACCCATCTCTACAAATGATGTGATGTTAGCTACTCTCAGAAACAGGGTGCTCCAGCAGAGAACACAGTTCTCTACTGTGTACTGCAAGTCACTCACGGCTCCCATCCCACGCTGTACACATGCAGATATAAAATGAAACTGTCATGGTTGAGGGGTTTGTGTATGTTATTGCACAGATCACAAGTTTTGCATTGGCAGAATTTTAAACAAATGGATGTTATTGTTATACCTTGCTGTTGGTCCTTCTTTAGTGCAAGCTCTGCGTGGGGAAATACTCTCTGCAAGCCTTGTAAAATTCTTTGCAGTGTGTTTTCCAACAGCGGTTTTAAAATAGATGATAGCGCTCGCCCAGGTGAAGCCACAGCCCTCTGTGAAGCTGGAACAGTTTTCTGCATGGCCATGACAAAATCCTTTGCTGTTATTTTAATCGAAGTGACATCTAACTGCAGTTTCTCACTCCTTTCATATATCTGAGGATACCGGCGGCGCAAAGCACAGAGAGCAGCTTCAGCACACAAGGCTTTAATGTCAGCACCACAGTAGCCTAATAAACAAAACATGAATCACATGTTGTGTCAGTCACAGGCAACACCGAAGTCAAGGCCAAGACTGCTAAAGTGCAACACTGGAAGACTTTGCATGCAGCCAAAAATTAAAAGGGTAAGCAATAATTTAAAGAATTACTGCACCACAGAGAAGTTTTGTTATGTGGCTCACAGCCTGATATCCTGCACTTAAGCAGCAGCCTCCTACTCAAAACTTTGCTCCTGGGAAAGATGCCCCAAACCCTGTCAGTGTTCTGAGAAAAAAAGAAAACTTTGTTTGCTTCCAAGGCATGCCAGCTGCCCCACTGCCTCACTCTGCAGCAAGGCACAGGAGCTCGAGCACTGCCTGGTACAAGCTCCGGTTCCCTACGACTCAAGTCGTGTGCAGTAACCCACACTATTTTCAAACTCACCAACACATTTCTCAGCCAGCTCTTCAAGAAACTTGTCCAATGGCTTCAGGGTCCAGTCTCGTGTATGAATTTTGAAAATCTCTTTTCTCGCCTGAAAACAAAACAGTTGAATTTTAGTTTGCCCTAAGTTTTCTCTTAAAACAACCACAACACAAAACTCCCAAACCCCTCACACTAATACAAATACTTTTCTTATCTGCTAAACTTTAAAATACTTAAGGTCAGTTAACATGCTCTCTTTTTCAACAAGGAAATTTCATTATTCTCATCTTGTTACATTAAACTCTTGCTGGGGGCTGCAGTGAAATAAAAGGCATTTACATCTTCCATAAAAAATGAGTTTTCACAAGTGTGAGACCTAATAATCCTGAGGAAAAAATTGTAGTAAAAAACCCCAAACTTATCTGGAAACAGATTTTTCAAAGAAAATTTTCTCAAATTCAGCAAAATTTAACAGTGACAGTCTCATTAGTTCATCAAATTTGCTCTTCTGACAGCTCATCCAAGAAAAACAGTCTTGGCACTCCATTTCCAATTGCTACAGTTACTACTAAGAAGAACAATAATTATGACTCAAACGATTGTCACTCATCCAGATAATGTCAAACATTGCCTATCCCCATCTCTGACCTTAGCAAGACTTTCACTGAATTATTTAAGTATTTTCTAGTACACAGACCAATTAAAGCAGATTGCTAGAATTCTTTCACAGTAGGAATTGTGTATTAGATCTATTTTATGGCACCTTCTCTCCTGCTCCTGAGAGCAGATAAAAACTGGAGACAAATGTTTGTGTTAAATGCACTGTTTAGTGCACTTTTACTAGCCTTCAGTCCAATATGGCTTTTATCCTCTTTCCAAAAAGTGCTAAGGAAAAGAAATATCAGCTGTAGCCAGAAAGAAAACACAGAGTATTCCAGTTTTGTCCAATGCCCCCCTCCAATATTTTTTAGTTGCTAAATACCTATTTTTTTAATTGCTTAGCTATTGCCATTGAACTAGAAGCTTCTCAAGCCCTGCCCCTGTGCAGTGACTTCACATTTTTGTCCAAGTCCCTATTACTAAGTATCAGTAGAAATGTCACATCCCAACATACTTCATTCACTCCAGCACCAGCCTTGATCAAAGTTTTTGTTACCAATAAGGAATTCTTGTCTGTACACCATTTCTTTCACTTTCACAAAGCTATAGCAGTACTTTATAACTGATGTGCACATTCATTCTTAAACATTTTGGTGACTAGCAGCACCCCATAGTCTTTGCTGGTCACAGAGAAACCAAAACTAGAGCACTAACTGCCTGTTGCAATCATCTTACTGATATATATTCAGTACCAGGTCTGCCCTCCATGGTACAACACAGTCTCTCCAGACAGCCCTTGTTTGTCCAAGTTGTACAACACTGACACAGACTTTTGCTGCTCCACAATGCTGCCTGTTACAGGGGTTGGTTTCTAAGATGGACTCTGCCCCACTGGCATTAAGGTGAAGTTCTGACCTCTTTGTTTGGCAAGCTGAAGAGGAACTCTCGATCAAAGCGTCCTGGTCGTCGTAAAGCAGGATCTATAGAATCCAGTCTGTTGGTGGCTCCAATTACCACAACCTCTCCTCTGCTCTCTAAGCCATCCATAAGTGCCAGAAGTGTCGATACAACAGAGCTAACAGAAAAGTACAATTTTCATTCAGCAGTTTAGTAAATCATCTTGAGTTCCACATAGATAAGGTAACACAGACCTTGTGTGCTGCTATCAAGCTTAGCAAATGGTTTTTGATTAGTGTTTAAAAATAATTTGAAATTCAGTAGTACCGAATTACTAGTTTTCAGGATAAATGAATGTGCCACATCAAGTTAAATAGTTTGTGGTCTTCTTTTCACAAAGATCAAGCAGCCTTCTAGATACAAAACATGTCCTACCTATGAACTTGGTCTTGTTTACTGGACCGTACAGGAGCAAGGCCATCAATCTCATCAAAGAAAATAATTGAAGGTCGCATCTGGTAAGCCTACAATGGAAGCATAGGAATACTGACACCAGGAAAACTATTTGAAGGAGAAATGTAGGAACAACATTATGGTTGTAAAGTCACTGGAACTAGATTTTTCAGAGCAGCATCAGGGATCTCTACTAATTGAGCTAATGTGGTAAGGTGGCAGGAATAAAAGAAGGCAGCAGCCTATGGCAGCTCACTGAGACTGGGCAACAGGAAACAAGTCACAGCAGCAGTTTTTACAGCTATTTGGCAACTACCAACAACTGAGCTGGGACTTAATTACATGTTCTGGAAGCAACCTGTTTTACCAATTTAAATGATCATGCTTTCAGCCTGCCTCTGTTTCCCTCTGATCAAAAGCCACCATCTCTTGTATCTTGAAGCCTTTTTTGGGGTTTTTTTGTAAGGCAAGGAGTGGCAGGTGTGTGTTGCTTTGCAAGGTTTTCTTGACTGCTTTACTAATCTTTCACAATACATCTCAAAACTTCAAGCCCCTAAAAACCCCACTGACAAAGGAAACACTAACAATTCCATTTCAGTGGAAGGAGCTGATAAAACATGAAAAAGAATGAGCTCTTCTTGACCACGGAAAATTAGTTACAGCTCAGACAGAACACAAGGCACGTTTCAACCTTACCTGATCAAATAACAAACGAAGCTGTCGTTCAGATTCCCCGACCCATTTACTCAGGCAGTCAGCACCTTTTCTCATAAAAAAGGCTACTCTCCTGTCACCTTGGCTGCATTCATTTGCAAGTGCACGAGCAACCAGTGTCTTTCCAGTCCCCGGTGGACCATAGAATAGACAACCTCTGGAATTTAAAAAAAAGTAAAAAAAAATTGATGTAAGAATAAAACATCATAGAAAAGTACCAGTTACAAACCTCCATCCCTAAAACATAGAACTATTCTTGCCTAAATAAAATTTTCTTTCAGTTGTTTATAATACTTTTAAAGTTACTGAAAGGAAAGGATCCAAAGTCCTATTTCAATATACCATGACTGAGTTTTGCTGACCAAGAAAATATAAAGCTAACAATTAAATCTTTATAATTTCATTTTGTAATACAGAACTAATTTAGTTCTGTAAGAAGTGGTCAGATTCTTATTTTAGCTCAAGCACAACCAACACTGCAAAGTTCTAGTTGCAAGTTCAATCAGTTATAAAACTGATACCGGAACTCTTGAAAAGAAACAGAGCTGGGGGACAGACAACTGAACTTCCACAAAACAAACTGCAGTTCACTACCGATAGATAATTCCTTCCTGCTTACAAACTGATCAAGTCCACTTGCACATAGCACTCAAAAGAAAAACACTCCAACTCCCCCTTTTAAAGGCAACACGCTTTTAAACCATAGTCTTGCCACACAGTAAATCTCTGAACCTACATGTACACTGGATTCTATCCATTTTTTAAAAATTACTTTTTACTACTGCTAAAAAAATCACCATGAACACTGCTTAAAATTTTGAAGCATAGAAACATAATAATACCTCAGTTGAATATTTTCCTGAAAACTTATAATACAGTTATAGTTTTAAACAGCATCTGTTACCTTGGAGGTTGAATTTTGAACCTCTCAAAGACTTCTGGATAAAGCAATGGAAAAACGACCATCTCTTTTAAAGCTGAAATGTGGTCAGAAAGACCACCCACACCATCAAATCGTACCTAAAGATGAAATCAGCAGAACACATTTTATATGTTAAAGAAAGCTGCAATCTCTGTAAGGTTCCATCAGGAATTAGATGTCAGCACAAAGGAAACGTTCATGCCGATTTTCAAATCTCTTGAAAGAAAACTGTAAGCCAAGGTAGGTGTAGACATCCCATTAGTGAAAGCTTTCATAAATACTGAAAATATCTCACAATGAAGTAAAAATACTTACTGAACAATCTATTTTCACTGGATCAACATCAGCCAGACTCGGTCCAATTTTCATGCGATCCTTATGAGCTCCCTTTAAATCACCTTTACGAAAGTTGCCAGGAAGAGACCTGATTTGAATTAAAGAGAAAGTTGCTTTCTAATTTATGATGCAGATTTTTGATTTTCTAATGATAGTAAGTGAATGCAGACAGTCTTATAAATGAGCATAAACTTCCTGAATAGTTAAATATGTTTGATCTGTTTTACATTTAATGGCCATGAGTAAATAAAGAAAAATGGTCACTCCAGACATTAAACTCAGTTAATTATTTTAATAGCTCTTAGCACTTACAAATATCCATGCCAGTCAACAAAACACATATAGGAGTACAAGCTCAGAACAAGTTACTCTGTTATGTGTAGACCATGGACTGACACTGATTTGTGTGATGGAAGAAACCACCTCCCCCAAGCACACTATTACCTTTCAAATTCTTTTAGCGTCTATACTTTATTAGTTACAGCCCAAGACAATACTTGTTTCAGTGGGAATTAACATTATAAAGGCTGCCTGGCACTGCTGGTCCTTCTCAAGGCCTATGGAATGTGTGTGCCAGAAGACACACATCTGAAAGATGTCAGGCTGAGTGTTACTAAAATAGTTTTTCTAGAGCATTTGTTAAGTAATGAAACCTCCATCATTTTCTCTATTTATAGCATTCTCTGTTATGGTGGTTTTCTTTCTGCATCAACTACTGTAAAGCACAGGAGCAGTAGAATTTTACACTAGGAACTTACATCAAAGTGTTCCTACATCCATTCCCACCCAGAAATCAAATTGCTTATCAAAATCAATTGTATAAATCCAGTTCCAGAGAGTCCAATTACAGTTGGCAGCACTAACAGACAGGACTGCCAGAAATTACAAAGCATGCAAGATGAAGATGGCAACACTTCACAGTTAGGCAGATGAAAAGTCCTCCCAAGTAGACTCCTCCCTCCCCTATTCTCTAATTTCATTAACCTTCTTAAATTTCTGTTCTTCCTCTGCCTCTCAAAATCCTCTTCATCATCAGATGAGGAAGAGGAATCACTGCTGGGGACTGTGTGTCTCCGTCTGCAAACATTCAAACAAAGACGTGAAAAAATTAAAATACACAGTAAGAAATATCAGAATTTAAAGTGAGATCTATTAAGTTTCCAGATCATTGTACTCCTTTTGAATCTGATTTCAAAGTACATTATGTGATTTTCCTCGTGATAGCAAAATTTGATTTTCTTAGCAAAGAAATTTCTTAACCAAGTTACTCCTTTTGTCCATTTACTCCTTCTCACACAGATTATAGAGTTGCACTTAACATTATGTATCCACTCTGTGAAACATCAACCTTTTTAACTTATTCCAAAGAGAAACTAGAATCTGTATTCAGGTGATTAAAAAAAGAAATCATCACATCATTAAAATAGGCTCCCTCTCTAACTAAATTGTCTTTGGTTTTAAAAAAATAATTGTATCCTTCAAGATTAAATAGTCTATGATTTTTAGAGGGAGATTCTGGCTTCAATTCCAAACCAAACAAATTTCAGTTACACAATCTCAGCCACAACCCTCATCATCACCTTTTGAGTGACCAGAAAAAACTGCATTTTTAAATAAAATCAAATGGCTAATAAAAAGGATGGGCTCCCCTCAATATTTGTTTTCTTTATACCCTCAGACTACCACAGCAATAACCATACTGTTAATCTCTAATTACCACCAGTCCAAAAACCCTTGGAAGCTTTATTCAGTCATGTGACTGACAGCACTACTGAGAAAGAAGAGCTACCACTAACCATATACACACCTGTTAGTTCCTTTGCATGAATCTCTCTGTCTGACAGGTGAAGCCCGCTCCGAAAAATACATCTTACGTTGTCCTGGTTCTATTGAAAGAAAAGAATTTAGAATAATGTTACAAACAAGTTTAAGAGAAAGCAGCATAGTGAAAGAGGCAGAGAATGGGATGTGTATCACCCATCTCTAAGTTCAGGAGAAGTTTTAAGGGTGCAGGGATGGGGATTTTTTTTTTTTAATCAATGCACAATAGAAGTGAAAATACACTTTTATATTAATATTAATATAATTTGATATTAAGGAGAACTGAAAACCCACAAGAGTAAGATCATCAAGCCTGTTCAATTACTATTCTTTCAAGGATACATAGATAATATTTTTACTGAAAAACAATAATAAAGATGCCAAATGGCAAAGAAATAGAATGTGCAGAGGATACATGCATTTAATAAAATTCACTTGCAGGTAAGGAAAGACATTTAAATAGCAGCTGAGTGTGTGCATGTGTGTTTTCCTTCTGAAAAAACCCCACAACACTCCCACTTCCATGCAAGACCTTAGTTCTTAAGAGAAGCTGTGCCTATAACCTACTTTGCAATGGTGCTTGATAGCGCTCAACAGTTTTCCTCTGCCGAAAGGAGTAACGCTTCCGCGTGTCTCCACCATCATCTTCTTTTGCTTCACTTTCTTCTGATGAACCAACTGTATGTCAACAAAACATGAGACTGTAAGTACTGTTGCAAATGGTATTAAATTCAAAGTGCACTATACAACATATATTCCCATGTGTCCACAACCTTTTATCTTGTGTTTTGGAAAAACACTGACTTTTTTTTCCATCCGAATACCTGTTCAGAGCTCACAACAGTACAGTCCTAGAGTCTGTGACCATGGCTTGTAATGTCAATAGCAGCACAGATTTTTTTAATAGATGAAAATTACCCAGTAGTTTGCCCCACCTCAATTGTTTAAGAAAAGGCTTTTGGCTAGAGCATAGTCAGGAAAATTTTAAAACAGAACTAGCCTACAATGCTACCTTGATTATCAGCTATTTCTTCGTCAGTCCTTTCCATATCGAGGCTTTCCTAATTAAAAGAAACAAAGACCAGTGACAAATATGCAGAAAACCTCTGGGCATATTTGGTGCCTGTACAGTATCATTATCAAGGCACTCCACATACACAAAAGACTTAATTATTGTATGGCAGGAGAGAAGTGGAATATCATTCTGGCATCCAGGATTAATAACAAGGATTTCTGCTCTAAAATAGGAATTCAGATCCAAACAAAAACTTAAGAAAGCAGACTATGAAGATGTTTAAAAAACAAAGTGACTGCCATTCAAAAGAACATTGGACTAACTTAATTTAATAAAGCAAAATTAAGACAGAGGAAATACGATGGCTGTCTATCATTTTAACAGTAGTTCCTCTCGGGATGGAAGACTAGTTGAGCTCACAGGCAAGGCTGGCACAAGAACACACAGGTAAAGCAGGTATCAGTGAATTCAGGTTTTAGTAAGATTTGAAGTGAAAATCCAAGCCCTGAAACAGCTGTTTGTAAACAGTGTCCATTCAAAAATCATAAGACAATTCAGAAAGTGTAGCATAAGACATCTGTTGCAATCTTTCACTGCTATTTCTTATCTTCTGAAGAAGTTATTTCTTCCACCCTTACAGCATAGTTGTGGCATGACCGTAACAGTAAGATGTTAAATTGTATCATTACAGAACAAAATCAAATGTTATTTTAGACAACACTATGCTTTGGATGAAGGTTTTTTCTGCTGAAGAAAAACTACAACTAAATAATTTCCCTATGTGAAATACCCTACTTATACAAAACAGCAAAATAAATTAGTATGTACTTCTTCTGTATCGTGGAACACCTCCAGGTCTCCCATCCTTCGCCGTTTACGCATCTTCTCCATGTCATCCATTTTTTGCAAGACTGCTTCTGCAGTACTAAGATACAAAGTTGTCATATAAGAGCAAAAATAAGCAAGTATAAAAAACCCCATTTAAAATAGCACACATAATCATCATGACATTTTAATATAGTGTGCACAAAGCAAGAGTCATTGACCCTTAGACAAGTTTTTCAACAATACTTAAAAATTAGGTCAAATGTTTACTTTTTTACAGAATTAAGGACAAATGTTTGAGGATTTGCAAATATACACTGCTTGGGTTTATTTTCCCCTCTTGCTGAACACAGAAAAAAAACCCCAACTGTTTCAGCAGGGAAAAAAGGAATTCTGCAGATAGTAAGATGGCAGATATTATGGCAAGTTTTCATAGTATTTAAGTTGCTCTGCATGATAATAGTAAGTCACTTTTGGTTCACAGCCTTCTTCAGACAACAGGTTGCATACTCGTCTCTAAACTGCAATTTAAGTTTTGCGTTGATTTTCCATGACTGTATATGCTAGAGAAAACACCCTACTGCTGTTACACTTCACAAACCTTTCACAGAAAACAATGTCAGTTTGGGCTTCACAGAGAGAATTACGCCACAGACAGGCAGAAACACCAGGATTGCTTCACTTTGCCTGTATCCAACCTTCCTTAGCATCTTAAGCTAAATCTACTGTAAGTCACAATAGAAGCTGATTGTTTTGGTTCACAGGAAAACACATAAACCCACCCAACCAATACGTACCCTACCAGGTTGCTCAAAGCCCCATACAATCTGGCCTTGAACACTTGAAGGGATGGGGAATCCATAACTTCTCTGGGCAACCTGTTCCAATGCCTCACCACCCTCCCCGTAAACAATTTCTTCCTAAAATCTAATCACTAGGATGTAACATATATATAGTGGTATGTAGGGAAGTCTCAGCCTAACCACTGAATGCATTTAGCTCTTGCTGCCTCCTTTTTCTCTTGTCAAAAGGAGGAAGTCCCTAGCGAGTATTTTGCCACAGGACAAGGAGTTGCTAATATAGGCTCATTGTAGTAGCTTTGCAAGACGATGAGAAAAAACTACTTACTTTGTTACAAGTTTGTCAAACAAAACAGACTGATTTGAAGAGGTGTAACGGCTTTGCTGGAGTCTGCAGCTCTGGCGGACTTCCAAATCCCCATTTTCTTCGTGGACTTGTTCTGCAGCTTTTGCATCAGCTCTGGTCTTCAGTGTTCTGGTCACTAAAATGCAATAATACATAAAACTTTCTAGGAAGGAAAATATGTCAGTCCCTTTATTTTACTGTTGCTCTAGCAAAATGTAAAAACTCCTCCCTTGAATTGATTTTTGCCTTTAAATACTGCATTAAAAGTTACTGTTGTGATCACAGCATTCAACTTAAAGTACTTATGCTTAAACTACCTCTTTAAAAGTGTGATTTGTATAGCAGCTTTTTCATAGACTGGGAAGCCAATATGATGAAAACAAACACCTAGCTTTTGCTCCATGCAGAAGGCAAATTTATTCCAGTTACTTCTCTCTGGAAAAGTGAAAACAACAAATACCTACCTCTAAAGTGTTTTCACACCATTCATGTGAAATTGTATCTGATAGTTTTTTCTAAAAATTGCGTATGTGGAAATCTCTAAAGAGGCATGTTTTTAGTACACTGTTTAAGCATGCATCTCTTCCATTTTCTGTGTTGTGACACAAAAGGCCTAGAAGATGAGAAATGCCTCAAGATAAACTCCCAGATACAAAAGAACTCAAAATGCTTGCTTGCTTTAAGAGACCTGCCCAGTATTTAACAGACAGCATCCTTTGCCACAGGTTTGCTACTTGCACTATCATTAAAACAGTTAAGAGGTCAGTGAGAGAGTAATAGATGTATCACCATGTTAGTTTAAACACAGGTGGGTCTGATCTCATCATCGCCAACTACAAAACTAACTTTGAGCTCAGTAAGTAATATTTTATATTGCACAAGTAGAACTTGAGTTACTACACGCTAAGTGCGTTTTGGGTCCCTTCCCATGTTCAGCCTGTAGTTGGCAGGATGCTGCCAAGACCTAAAGGATTCTTCCAGCTGCCAAGTGGCCTCATGGCACCAAGTCCACTTGTGTACTCAGCAGGGCAATTCAGCTCCAAGGTAAAGTGCTCAGCTTCAGGGACACCTTCCCCGCACCCATGGGTTTGTGCATCTCATGACTGAATTACTTCTAACACACCTGTATTACAATACTGCAACTCCTTCCTACTTACAAGACCGATTTACACTGAACCTGTGTTCTACAGACTCCAGAAAATCCATGTCACAAGACAAAACTGAGCTAAGGAACAGATTCTCTGATGCCTAAGAATTCAGGAATTCACACTGCATTCTTCCCAAGCCTGAAAGGAATTAATAACATCTCCTCCTATTTGTACCTACTTCTTTTGATAGAACTCAGTGGAAATTGTTATCTTTGAGATATCTATTCTCACAGCTTCAGTTGATTTTGGCTGATGAGTTCAGAAGTTTTTGGGGCCAAGTTAAATGGACAGAGTGACCAAATGCAATCCTCCTCAGAAATCAGACTAAAAAGGAATCCTAAGGAGTTATCACTACTTACCTTCTTTATAGTCTTCTTTTTTTGTGCCTGATTTCGGCTTTGCCAGTTGCCTACATTAAGAAAGAGGGCAGAGAAAAGGAGAACAGAATTGTTGTATTACAAGTATTGTATGGCAGTATTATATTGCATTGCATTGTACAGTCCCCCCTCAACACTGGGGAACTTCTCCAGGTTTATAATTTCGTGCTACATGTCATGCAAAGAAAAGCCTGTGGACCCCAGGGAGGTACACAGTCTGCTGTGTACCATATGCACACAGTTCTCTAAGGACAGACATTTCCTAACTTGCTTGTCTGGATGTCTCAATAGAGCACGTAATATCTCAGTAACCAAAGTGGAGAAGAAACCTCAAAGGACATTGAGATACAATGCTTTTTATACAAGCTGAAAACTTTAACTAAGAAGAGTGATTTCAGTTCTAAGACACTGGCACTAACATACTCATATTCCCCTGCGGATTTTTAGCTGTAGATTTATCTTGAGAAGACTCACTGTGCATTACTTTCACTTTTCCTTTTCACTGTATGAATTGAACAGAGATTGAACACCCAGAAATACAATACCTTGAGAAGTGTCGGTTGACATTTTCACTTAATATTTCCATACTTTTGTCAAAGCTGGAGTCTGAACAGGGCGGCATGTTTTTTCTCATCGATCTTAAACGGTGTCCATTGAAACATTCAACATTGTCAGAGGAAAAATCCTAGGAAAAGAAGGAAGAATGTGTTTATCTAAACCACACACATTGTCTCATTTGGGCAAGTTTAGTCTGTTACACTCCTGACTCAAGAGTGATGTGACTGACTGTAGGTAAGCCTCAAACCATTTCTGCACCAAGAAGTAGCTCTCAGGAAGAAAAACCCACACCAGATTTCAAAGAAAAAAAAATAATTTTTGATTTCAAATTTGGTACAGTGACCACAGTAAACAAAAGCTCACCCATAACATGCAATTTTTCCACCCCTTTAGGAAGGGTCAAAAATTATATTACAAAAGAAGGATGGGTTTGGGTCCAAAAAACCCCCAAAGCAATAGAGAGTGAAGAAGCCTCTCTGCTTGTGTTGGATCGGCTGATGGACTGTGTTTCTCCTCTTCCCTGAAGGGATCCCTTTAGGTGACCTTTGTGCCTCCCAACTGTTTTGGAGCAGACCCGGGAATACTCATTTAGATAGACAAATACATTGCTAATAGATCTGTCACTACTCCTTCTGTAGCAGCACATACAAACACTCTGTATTTGTTGCATTTACCACCAGCAATTCAGAATCTGCTTTCCTGTTGTTTCAGTGAACTGCGCTATTCACGAACCTGGATCGTGTAAGTTCTTACTGAACTTGGCCAGGCTGATAGTGCTGAGTTGGCTACAGTCAGAAATTAGGCCCAGCTGCACCCAGCCCCTCTGATCTCTGAGGACCAGCTGGAATGCAAGGGGTTAGTTTTCTGCCAAACTTCTCTATCTTTAATGCAACAGAAAAATGGCTTGTCCTGGGGGAGTTTTTTTCCTGTCTCTGTTCCATTTATAATGGCATTCAGAGGGACATAAAAAGAATTGCTTCAGGAGGATGACATTTATCCACAGAAAACCAAAAGGAACTGAAGATACGCTTCTTCATGGTTGTTGGTCTTGTTTGCTTTGGTGTTTCTGCAAGGAAGATGATATTATTGACTTTTACTATGTGAGGAAAGCTCTGGTGACCACGGGAGGGGTTTGTTCTGTTTACAACCCAAAGTTTCATTACAAATACACCAAACTAAATCTCACACTGAAAAGGGCAGAAAACTGACCAGATTCTTCTAGTTCTTCACACTAATGTTACCAAGAGGTAATTCCATTACTTGTTGATGGAGATGACAGAGGAGTGAGGAAGGACTATAGGAGGATTACAAGATGTCAGGAGGTTATGCGGGGAGAAAATTACATGGGCCAAAGCCCAAGTTGAATTTAATCTGGTTATTGCTTTAACAGACAACACAAAACATTTTTACAAATACATCAGCAACAAAAGAAAGGCTAAGGAGAATCTCCATCCTTCACTTGATGCACAGGCAAACATATGACAAAGGATGAGGAAAAGGCAGAGGTACTATGCCTCAGCCTTTAACAGTAAGACTGGCAGTCCTCAGGGTACCACCCCTTCCATGAAAAATTTCTTCCTGATGTCCGACTGGAACCTCCCCTGGTGTACCTGGAGGCTGTATCCTCTTGTCCTGTCGCTAGCTGCCTGGGAGAAGAGGCCAACCTCCTTCAACCTCCTTTCAGGTGATAAGGTCTCCCTGGAGCCTCCTTTTCTCCAGGCCAAACAACCCCAGCCCCCTCAGGTGCTCCTTATATGACTTACTTTCTAGACCCTTCACCAGCTCCGTTCCCTTTCCCTGGACACATTCCAGCACCTCAATTGCCTTTCTTGTTGTGAAGGGCCAGAACTGGACACAGTATGTGAGGCGAGACCTCACCAGTGCTGATTAAAGGGGGACAATCACTGCCCAGGTCCTGCTGGCCACACCATTTTCTATACAGGCCAGGATGCCCAGACAAAAAGGGAACTCCTGGAGCACACTGCCCTCAAATACAGGTCACCAGACAAGAAGCTTGGTCAGCTTGGGGAATTACACCATGGTTATAGACCCGGAGATACACAATTTCCAAAGAGGCAGCAGCCACTTTGGATCTCACTGGGAAACTCACTCATGAAACTTAATGAGACTGGAAACTTGGAAGAGGATGAACACAGCAGATGTTGGTTTACCTTACACTTTCTGCTGTATGCTCCTTACTGTCTATGGATGCAATGAGCTGTATAACTAAAGATAAACCACATGATGACTGCAAAAAAAACCTGCAAAAGCTGCCACTGACAAGTCCTCACATGTCAACAAGACAGGAAATAGGCATTAGGGCTTGAACATGCAGCTAGCACCAGCATCATGACCTCTGTCAGCTGGGGTACTTCTACATTATCTCTACAGTTAAAACCTCCAGCAGAACACAGCATCCTATAAATGAGGTAATGACTCAATGCCTCAAAGCATGGAAAAGGTCTACAAAAAGGGGAAAAAAACCCCAAACACCAAACCTTACATGAACAACCTTACAACCTGTTTCATAACAATGATTCTGCTTTGGTTTCAGGGATAAGTTCACATTTAGCTTCCTCATTCCTGTTCTCCACACTGAGAACACACGCCAGCTGTGCTATCTGCTTAACGCTGCATAACCTTCCCCTCAGTGCAAAGGGCAGCTGAAGGCAGCCCCTGACAACTATTTCCAGTGGAGACTGCAAAAACAAAGCAGTGATATTTAAGCAAATTCCATTACTCTTTGCAAGGGGAGATAAAAAACTCCACCACCCCAAGGATTTCTTCCTTCTTAGTTCAGTAATCTTGAAAAAAATGGAAAAAAAATTAAAAAAAAATTAAAATTAATCTATACAACTGAAACTCCTGAAAGACTTTTGCTGGAAGGAAACAGAGTCCACAAGAAGCATCACTCCAAGGCAGGGCTCCCCTCAAGAGCAGACCACTTCCAAGTTGGATCTGGTCTGCCTTTATTTGTCACAGAAACGCAGGACAGCCTGCAGAGAAGAGACTGACTTGGAAAGAGCAGAGAGGAGTTTTAGCTTTTGAAGGCTATGTTAAAAACAGTCGACTTCTGAACATCTCAAAATGAGGTGATTCAGTTATTAAAGTCGCGGCAGAGAGGCGGATCACAGGTTTGTGTTCCCAGGGACCGGCTCTCAGGCCGCTGCCAAGGCCGGTGCCGAGCCCCCTTCAGCCGCAGGGCGGCCGGAACGGGAGCGGCCCGGCTGCTCCTCCACACGCACCCGGCCGCGGGCGCTTATCCAAACACTCCTTTTTCTCCTTTTTTCCCTCCGCGGGACCCTGCTCCCCGCCGCTTTCCCAGCTCCCCCTAACACGTCCCGGCCCCACCCCCCGGGCCCGCAGTCCAGCGCTGCCCGGCCCTGGATCCCCACGCCCCGGCACTCACGGCCTCCGCAGCTCTCCTGGATCCCGCGGCCTTGGCGGACCCGGAGCGCGTCCAGACGCCGCGGCTGCTGAGCGCGGGGCCCTCCAGGGAGATGAAGTCGGAGCTGGAGTCCAGCAGATCGAAAGGGGGCCGGCGGCAGCGGCTGTCGCGAGAGGCCACGCGGGCCGGGCGGGCGACGCTGCTCCGCAGGACCACCATGGTGGTGAGGGAGGACGGATACGGGACGGGACAGGACAGATCAGGCCCGGCCTAGCCGCTGCGCTTCGCCAGAGCCCTCCTGATCCCTCCTTCCCGCTCCGCTCTCTCTCCGGCCGGTACTCCCGGCGCGCGTGGCGGAAGGACACGCGGCGCACAACAACCCCTGCTCGCGCGTTTGGCGCCCAAAAACTCGTATCGCTGCGCCGGCCGAGCGCGGGGCGGGGCTTGCGCGGTGGCTCCGCCTCGTCCCGCCCCGCCCGAGGGGTCCCCGCGGCCGCCGCTGCTCCCGGGGAGCGCCTGAGCCGCGCCGGGATGGCCGCGGTTCCCTTAGGGGCGGCGTAGAGGCTGCCCCCGCCGGGCCCAGCGCTTCCTGCTCGCACGGGCCATGGCGCGGCCCGTGGCCGCCTACGAGGCGGCGGTGCCGGCCCGCCCCGCCTGCACCTACACCAGCTGCTACTGGTAAGGGGGACGGGGACGGGTGCCCCCCGCACCCCGGGGAGGTGCTGAGGCGGCTGGAGCCGCCGTCGGGAGTGGCGCGGCTGCTGGCTGGTCTCACAGCTCGCAGCTGTGCTCTCAGCTCGCTTCTTTGCACCAGAAATAATGTTGGAGGATAAAAAAATTATTTTTTTGTGTTTTGCAGCGAAGAAAACGTTTGGAAGCTTTGTGACTACATCAGGAGTCAGGATCGGTACCCTTTAGAAGAGTTTTATGCTGTTTTCATATCCAATGACAGGAGGATGGTGAGTCAATGGGATGTGATCAGTCAGCTATGGAGAGGCTCGGGCCTTCAGAGTGCAGCCCAGAGTAGGTGAGACGTGGCCCCAGCGATTTCAGCCTCAGCCCAGTGTAGGTGAGTGAGCCCTTAGCCCAACCTCTAAGTGAAACACAGTCCAAACCCATGTTATAGCTCACTTTGGCTCAGAGGTGTGCCAACCGCACCACGTGAGATATTTTAATTATGCACTGCATTAAGGACAGCGGGAAAGAGGTGTGGTGTCCCTGTGAGCTGTGGGGTAATTTTTCCCTGTAATCTGTCAGTTTAGGAGAATGGTTATTTTTGTAGAATGGCAGAGACATTAATAACCATAAGGTTGGAGAAGACCTCTAAGATCAAGTCCAAATGTTAACCCAGCACCACTGCATTCACCATGAAACCATATCCACAAGTGCTTGCTCCACATGTCTTTTGGACACTTGGAATCACAATGGTGATTTGGAATCACAATGGTGATTCCACCACTTCTCTGGACAGCCTATTGTAATGTGGCCCAGAACAGTATCTCCGACTTCATGCTCCTGAGAGAGAAACTAGAGAAAATCTGACTGCAGCACAGATGTAAAATGAGGAAGTTGATAGGTTAGCAAAGAACGAACTAATTTACCTGAAATTAATCTGTATTAATCTGAAAGATTTTATTTACTTCAGATTCACCTGTAACTTTCAGATTCCCCTCTGGAAGCAGAAATCTGGACATGGAGATGAGCCTGTTGTCTGGGTAAGGCATTCATTTCTCTCTCAGTAATTTTGAGTGCATACTTCTGTAGTTGATAGCTGCAGGATCAGACATGGGCATCTTTATTGTTAGAAATCGTTCCGTCTGAACATAAAGGAACAGTTTTTTGCTGTGAGGGTGATGGAGCACTGCAGCAGGTTGCCCAGGGAGGTTGTGGAGTCTCCATCCTTGGAGGTATTTCGAAGCTGTCCGGATGCAGTCCTGGGCAGCTGCCTCTAGGTGTACCTGCTGGAGCAACAGGTTGGACCAGATGACCTCCTGAAGTCTCTTCCAACCTCCAGCATTGTATAGTTCTGTATTAATTTTTATTATTCTTTTACAAAAGATTTATAGATAGCTTAAATCTGTTGCTCCTTTGTACCAGCCATCATAAATTAACAGCAAAACAGTCAGTAAAATCTACAGGTGGCACACCTTACTATTGGTAAGAGTACAGATTAGTGAAAATTATTATCTGGGTATCGAGGCTGCCGGCTTTGTAGAATTATAAGTAGATGACTGTACTTGTAAGAAGTAGATGGATGAAAATATTTATGTAGGCTTGATAGATGACAGAAAAATATAAGCAATCTATGTATTCAGGTGTCACCAATTAAACTGACCCATAAATGGTGGCTTTGGAGTGTCATTTGATCAATTAATGTAATTCAGTAATTGCTGCTACAGAATTCCTTGGTATCATACAGAGTCCTTTCAGTTATCTGGCACAGAAGAAACTCTATTTCTTATGGCAATTTCTATTTCTGAAATTCTATGAAATAATCTGCAAACTTCTGAAGTTCTTTGATTTCTGAATCATTTGTTCTCTCCCAAAATGTTGGTCTCCTTGCAGCATAAAAAAAGGTTTAGTTTAAAAAGAGATCCAGGTGTTACAGAGATGACCTGAAATGGAATAGGAGAGTCCGGAAAGGCCATGGCAGAATGTGGATTCCTCATAAAAGTTCACTAATTGAAAGATGTTTTAACTTTGTTTTTGTGGATTGTAGAATGTGTAAAACTTTTTCTTATACATTTTAAGAGATTATTCTAAATACTGTTGGATACAGTTGTAAATATTGGTTTGGCGAAGTATTTTTCCCAAAGCCTTTTCATTTAAATCCCTTTGTGGTTTTCATATTGAAAGTGTCAAAACACAGTGCTATAAACCCTTGTTGTGAGTGGATTCAATGTAAACTTCAGTAAGCTGTTAACAGCTGCCTTCAGTTTAATTTTGGAAAACATCAGTGAACATACCTGACTCCTGACATAAGTAACTGCAGGGTCCCCAAACCTCCACCACACCTGTGTTTCTTATGAGTTAAGGAATAAAACTGCACCTCATAACCCAAGTGTCAAGACAAAAGAGTTGCCTTGAAAAAGTGTGCTATAGTATCCCTATGTTTTTTCCCTGCTTCAAGAGCTGCTACAGGAATTTGTCTTGCTCCTGTGGTCCTCTTGATCTGAGCTATTTGCTGGTTTTTCAGTAACATGCTGGTTTTTCAGGTGCTTCTGTCACTGAACACTCTGCACTCAAATTCACAGACCATGTTACTGCAACAGGTACAAAATCTCTTATTAGAAGAGATCACTAGAAAATTTTAATGTTAAGCTATCATCATATCTTACTGTGAGCTTTTGTTTAGGACTGGGTCTAAGACAAAAATCCTTATCCCGTTCAACTTCTGTGTTTTGGTATGGAACATGAAGGAGATTTACTGTCTTAGGAGCAGTGTACTCTTTAGTTTAGCTGTCTTAAATCAAAGGAGGCTGCAAAGGAATGGGGAAAATACTGAGGTGTCTGGAAAAGCATGATGGGCAAGACAGGTGTTAGGAAATCTCTCTCCTGGTGCCAGAAATGTTACAGGCTTAATGTTCAAGGACGGAAAGCAGGCTTTAAAAAATGAATCTGAACTTCTGCTTTTAGGAAACATTTTTTTCCCCTCCTTTTGCCAGTTTCTCATTAATTGCTGTTTGACTAATGGCAAGTACCCTTCTTCCCAGGACTACCATGTTATTCTACTTCATGTTTCCAGCGGGGAGCAGAACTTCATTTATGATCTTGACACAGTGTTGCCGTTTCCCTGTCCGTTTGATGTGTACAGCGTGGAGGCCTTTAGGCTGGATGACAGCCTTCGTCCAGAATTTCACAGGTGATGACATAAAATATAAAGACTATGAATGGTATTTTGTGAACTTGAAGTTCTCTTTGGGTATGTGACAGAGGGTTTTTTGCTTACTCCAGTAAAATAAAGGCACTGTGTTATTTTTCTAAAGCTCTTTACCTTAGTCATCAAAAGCCCTTTTCTTTCCTACTGTAGTTTTTTGTTAACTGCTTGGCACAATATTACTGATTTGTGTATTTAATGAAATTAATGCTCCTTAATGAGAGGAAAGCACTCTTGTTCTGAGTGACTAAAGCAGTATTGTATACACGCATCTTTTGATATAATTTTGCATTTTTATTTAGAAAAATCAGAATGGTTCGAGCAGATTTGTACTTGAAGACATTTGCTTCAGACAGATCTCATATGAAGGATGCAAATGGGAAATGGCAGAAACCTCCTCCTCCATACCCTTGCATTGAAACTGCAGGTAAGCTCCCAGGACTCCTTATTTCTGCTTACAGTGTCAAGTGACATAGTCCAGGATACACACCAGAAATAAATATACTTCCATAACATTTGTCCAGCTATCTGGGAAAAATTAGGCTTGAAAACATTTGGCTCTCCCTTTCCTGGACATGTAGTCTAACATGCCTTCTGGCATTTACCATTATCAAGCATTAATTAGTAATCTTCATAAACTGAGCAGAGAGTGAGAGGTGAGTAATACTGTTCTCTCATTACAGCAGGAGACTGAATCAAAGAGGCCAAATAACTTGCTTAGGGGTCACAAAGTGAATTTTTAACACACTGATTATACCACACTCCAGCAGGTCCCATTCTGGCAGAGCAGACTATGCTGGCAGGAGGAAGTTTACAGGCTCTGCTCAGCATGATGGCTTTGCCTGGATGAGATGTTTGAGATTTCTGTACGAGGTAAATGGACCTGAGGATTGCTTTAAGGCACACTGGCGAGTTGGCAAGTTTTTCCCTAAGCCTCTTTTGGGTGGTAGTCTAGCTAATAGCCTCTGGGCCAGGCAGAGAGAGAGGTAAAGATCTATTGCCATCTATTCTATAGAGCTGCTTAAACCATTCTTATCACACAGCACTTCAGCTTATTCTAATCATGTGTTTGGCAAGCTGACTAGCATTTGCCATATGTTTGTTCTCTCATTTTCTTCCAAGGAAAGCATGGTGAAGTTTTGCTTTGAAAGAGTTTTCATGTTACTCCTCTGCATGTTTGGTTTTGTTGCTTTTTTAATAATGCAGTACTGCTATGTGTTTATGGTACAGAAGGCAGGGTCAAAGAAACATGTTTTGTGTTTAGGTCCGAGTGTATTGTGGTTTTAAGTTGCTGAGAAGTTAACTCCCAGTCTTTGCTTTGGCTTCTAGGGAAGCTTGATGTTTCACATGAAAGTAGAAATTAATTGTGAGAGTGAGCAGGAACACAGTCTTAGTTATGAAACTTCAGGTGTTTTCTTGACAATCCAGGTTATGAAATGCCTTAAATTCTAGGTCTTGGTTGTTATCTGCAGTAGAGTTTTATGCAAAGGTAGTGTAGGGAGTGTAGAATGCCTGAACTACAGTGGATGGTTCACTGTTAGCTGAAGCCTCCTAGGGGCTGAGAACTTTTTGCCTGTGGAAACGTTGTTGTTGTGATAAGTGGGAGATAATGAAAGTGTGAGAAATATAGGTGAAGACAGGCCAAGAAAGTGAAAAAGTTCTACTGAAATCGAAAGAGTAAAAACCATTTACTTGTGGATAGTAAGTTACAGAATGACTCAAACAGTTGCAGATGTGTACATGTATCTGTAGCTCGAGTGAATGACTCCATAGCTGCAAACCCTGTAGCTTTTCCCCTTTCCTGTCTTGTTTGGCTGAGCTTTATCTCGCTGAGGAGCAGCAGCCACAGGTCTCAGCCAACCTCCAGATTGTGATGCTGGTAGATAGTGAAAGATACATAGCTCTTCCTTTCTCTTAAGTGTTAGTTCTTTGCTCTGTATCTTACCATGCTGAAGGAAACATCCATAGGTCATCCAGTCCAACACCTAAATAAAACAGACATTGCTCAGGGCTCTGTCCAGTGTAGTCTTGAACGCCTCCAGGAATGGCGATTCCATCACCTTTCTGGACAGTCTGTTCCAATATTTGATGACTGTTGTGGTAAATAAAAAATAAATAAAAATTCCTAGTACGTAATCTGAATTTCCCATGTTCCAATTTGCTTTTTTAACTTCTTGTCCTCTTGCCAGGCTCCTCCAAGAAGGCTCTGGCTCCGTCTTCTTTGTGTCCTCTGATCAGGTAGATGTAGGCAGCAGTAACGTTTCCCCTTCATCTTCTCTTTTTAAGACTGAACAGACCCAGTTCTCTCAGCCTCTCCTTGAATATAGTGTCCTGCTCCAAAAAACTTGATGTTCTTCTTTTGGACCCATGTTTTGGGTTTTTTTTGTACTGAGGAGCTCCAAATGTACACAGTGTTCCAGCTCTGTACTCATAGGCTCTGGTCTCCTGGTCAGGTGGCTGAAAGAAACCTGTTACCCTGCACCCACTGAAGGTGGAAGGTCATTCACTAGGGAATTTCAAGGCCTGAGTCAGAACAGGGATAGATTGTCTCATGTCTAGTTCAAGTTGTCTTTCACTTAGTACCAGTTCCTCCAGCTTTATTTTTTGTCTTTCCTTTGTATTCACTGGGGATACCTTATTATGATGTGTGCTTCAATGTGCACAGTGCTGTAAGTCTGCGAGGAGTCTGGGTTTAACTGTAATGTCTCAGCACAGTTTTATCAGGCATAAAAGTGCCTTATTTTTAACTTGTTGGAGAAGTGGGTGGTAGACCTTTTGTTATCATAGAAGAGCCTGGGGTATTAATATTCATGTCCATGCCAAATTCCATTGCAGATAACTGTTTTCTCCCTGTCGTTTCACTTAGATAGAGTACTCTGCTTTCCATGTTGATTTGTGTTTGCATAAGATTAAATTGCTTACATATTTCATGTTAGAGGTGACTGCAGTTTAATGGCTGACAGAATTGACCCAATATCAATTTATTTTAATACCAATTTATTTCTGAGGCATATTTAATCAGTGTGGTTTGTTTTGTTTTGTTTTGTTTTTGCTTTCATTTAGAGTAGCCAAATTCCTAAACTCTTGCGAAGTTGTAAGGTTTTTAAATTGCTTCTGTTTCCTAATATCTTCTTTGTGATTTGTGGCATTTGACCCTGGCTGGTTGCCAGGTGCCCACCAAAGCTTCTCAATCACTCTCCTCCTCAGCTGGACAAGGGAGAGAAAACATAATGAAAGGCTCATGAGTTTAGATAAGGATGGGGAGAGATCACTAAGTCATTCACTGATTACTGTCACAGGCAAAACAGATTCAACTTGAAGAAATTAGTTGAATTTATTACCAATCAAAATCAGAGCAGGATAATGAGAAGTAAAACAGATCCTAAAAACACCTTCCCCCCCACCCCTCCCTCCTTCCTGGAGTTAATCTTATTCCCAATTTTCTACCTTCTCCCTCCCCCCTCAGTGCAGGGAGATGGGAAATGGGGGTTACAGGCAGTTCGTCACATGTTGTTTCTGCCACTTCTTCCTCTTCAGGAAAAGTCCTTCCCCTGCTCCAGTGTGTAGTCTCTCTCTCAGGAGACAGTCCTCCATGACCTTCTCCAATGTGAGTCCATCCCGCAGGCTGCAGTTCTTCACAAACTGCTCCTGCAGGGGTTCCTTTCTGCAGGGTGCAATCCTTCAGGAACAGGCTGTTCCAGTGTGGGGCCACCATGGGGTCACAAGTCCTGCCAGCAAACCTGCTCCAGCATGCACTCCTCTCTCCATGGGTCTGCAGGTCCCTGCCAGGAGTCTGCTCCAGCACGGGCTTTCCACTGGGTCACAGCCTTCTTTCAGGCATCCACCTGCTCCAACGTGAGGCTCCTCCAGGGACTGCAGGGACACAGCTGCTTCGCCATGGTCTTCACCACGGGCTGCAGGGGAATCTCTGCTCCAGTGCCTGGAGGACCACCTCCCCCTCCTTCTTCAATGACCTTGGTGTCTGCAGAGTTGTTTCTCTCACAGATTCTCGCTCTGGTCTTCTCTGGCTGCACTTACGTCTGTGGAAGAGCTTTTTTCTTTTCCGTCTTAAATTATCCCGGAGGCGTTACTCCCTCAGCGTTGGGCAGCAGTGGGTCCATCCTGGAGCTGGCTGGCACTGGCTCTGTAGCACATGGGGGAAGCTTCTGGCAACTTCTCAGAGTAGCCCATCCTGCTACCAAAACCTTTTTAGTTGAATTGAGGAATCTCTGTCAGTGACCAATTAATAATTTTTTTCCTACTACTAACTCAAAGGGAATAAATCTTAAAACTGTATTTGTTCTGTTCATGGGGTTGCAAAATTTTTTTAAAAGACATTTCTTAAAACACAAACAACCCCAGTCCAACCAATTAAACAGCAGAAGAAACCCTCCCTCCAACTCCCTCAAGCTCTTCAGTATCTCCTCAGAACTCGCATGCTAAGCATTAGCCTTTTGGAACTGGCTCTGCTCTAGCCATTTCCCAGAGTTAGGCTTCTCTATTTATTACTGGCATTGCTCTGACCTCTGTTCTGCTCTCCTGCCACGTGTGCCAGGAGAAGCTGGCTAACCTAACTGGGTGCTTGGTGCTTTCTCACCCTGCCCTGTCCTCAAAGCAGCTCTGCTGCAATAAACATACCTGAGCTGCAGCAGATTCCCCTGGTTCCGCCTGGTTGCCAGTGACCTTCTGTTGAAAGAAAACAGGGTATTTTGTTCAAATACTGAAAATAAGGAAAACGCGATTTGGTGCACAGATTCATTGTTCCAGGGCTGGTGAGCCCAGTCTCCAGTTTTCTTTTAAATCTTCTTTCCACAAATTAATGAGGTCTGATTCTGCTTAGTTTATGAGTCGTGATGAGATCAGCCCTCCTTACTGCAAGCCTGTGTAAAATACAGCCTGCACAGCGCATTTCAAAATTACTCAACAGATGGTCGTGCGGCTTACAGACAACTGTTAGCAGCAGCTCTAACACTGAAAAGCATTGGTTTGAATTTCAGTTCTCCCAAGGTGTTTGGTAGCACACTCACAGGATTGATTTATAAAGACTTTTTGTTCTTTTTATTATTATTAAAATCCCTGGTAGTCAATAATTATAGGGTTTTACTTGGGTTGGGTTTCTTTTTGTTTTGAAGAGCGTGAGTAGGACAGCTGAGAAGTTCTGGCGGTACTGTGTATTACACATCTGTGTAACAGGAAAGCTGCTAGACGAGAGGCCAGGCAGATGTCTGCAGTTGCTTTCTGTATCTCCTCTCTGAGAGGTGGTGGTAGGATCCTAGTGAAAGTAAGAAGGAAAGTACTGATACTGGTAAAAGTAGCTCCTCTGTGCTTAATGGGAACCTTCAGCTCCTCTCATTTGAGAATAAAACTCCAATCTGTTAAGTTGGGTCCTTACTTCCTAAGCTTTTGTGGAAGTAATGAATCAAGTTGGATAGAGACAATTAAGATACATCTAAGGATAGAAGTATTTAATTTCCCAGAGTGGAAATTAGTGTGAAAGATAATTTAAAGTGATGAGCTGTGTTTTACACTGAGATCAACCAGGATAGTTTGCACAGTCAGTTATATCTCAGCTGTGGGGACAGCACCCTCCAGCTGAGTGTGGGAAGAATCTGTCTGACTTATCTCCCTGCTCAGACGAGGGAGGGGGATCTGCAGGGAACTGTAGACACCTACACGAGTCTGTGAAGAGCCCAACTTTTTAAGTATTTTAGGTGCCCCCAAGGTTAGGCATCAGCAGAACTGATCTTGGAGGCTTTGTTCCAGACTTCCTCGCTTCCAGCAGCCCTTCGGCAGCTGTCATTATGCTGAGTTAGTCCAAGGTCTGTGAGCCAAGCTGAGGTTTGGCTGAAACGTTGCTTTCTAACTACTGTTGGCAGAAGCCACAAGTATCATGGCTAACAATGCCTTAAGATAGTGCATGGCCTTTTATTTCGTCCTTGCTCCAGGTAAAAGTGTCAGACTTGATTTAAACAAAAATAAAATTATTTAGGAATCCCAGAATTCACCAGATAGGTCTCTTTGATGGTGTGTGTGTGTAACTAAATGTGTTTGGTCAAAGAGAAAGATGAGCTCTGAGCATGCACAAATGCAAACTAGTGTAATAGCTACAGCACCTGAGGAGGACTGCAACTGTAATGTAAATCTTAAAAAAAATAATTGTGCTGCTCTTGATCTTGCAAAAATGTTGTATAATCCTTGCTCCTTGCTTTTGTGGAGAAATCCTCTTGGTTTGTCAACTGTAGTATCCAGATGTCTCTTTTGTAAATTCTGATGTTCATCACTCTTCATCTACTTAGGGAAAAGGACTTTGTGGTGTTTTTGTGCATTTTTACCGAGCTGTTTTCTGAACCTGTAAGGTCTAACACAACATGCACGGCCTTCAGATAGAGCCCATGAGAAAGGAGCGTCACAGAGGGACTGTTATTACACGAATAAAACAGGAGAGGTCTCACTGAGTTTTTCCCTATGGATATCTCCCGTGCTGCTCCAGTGCCATCTAGCGACTGGTTCTTAGGCCATTGTGCTTCACGGGAATGGATTTGTTTACTTTGGTAAAACAATATTTCCTTTCATTAAACTTCTCTGATGGACTGTGTTATGCTCTGTCACAATCCTTCTGAATTTAAGAGAATATTTCACTTCTTACAGGCATTGTGACAGCAACTTCCAAGTTGCTAACAGCAGCTGTGTTCGTAACTACTGGAACAATCCCCTTTGGACTGCTTTACCATTCACAGAACAGTTCTATGAAATTATTCTACTATGCTCGGTGCACATAAAGCAGAGAATTATTCGTCTGTTTAAAGTATATGAAGAATCACATTAACTTCAAAACATCTGTGAGGAAAAGTCAAGTTTGGAACTGGAAAACAGACTTACCAGTCTAACAGCAAGCAAGAGCTGTTATCCCCTGCTAATTGTGCTTGAGCTATGACAGCAAATTGCTGAACTTGTGCTATTTTAAATTCCCACACAGGCAGAAATTGTCCATGTTCTGCCAGACTTATTTCAGCAGTAGGACAATGTTTGGCTGGACATAAGGATTTTCCATATACAAAGTTCAAACAGGTTAACAATAAAAGATATCGGGGCCAGACCTCAGAAGGGGTGAGAGTTGAGATTAGGCAAATCACAAAGCTGTGCTGTAGTGTAGATGTGGTACAAACAGAGGCTGGATTTTGACTGGGGCTCCTGGGTCTGGGATTCCCGGGTCTGGGATTCCTGAACATCATCTTCCCTTCCTTGTTTATGCTGTCCATAATGGTAAGCCTAATTATACAAGCTTTTTGGAGCTGAAGCAAATTCCGTCCTTTGGATTTTATAATCTGTTCATTAGAGCCTCCTCTTGTTTGGTTCTTAATCCTTAAATGCACACATCCATCTTAAAATAAATACTTAATGCAGTGGAAAAGCTGTTAACAGTAAATCTGTAAAGCTGTAACAGTGACTTTACCACTCTGTTCCTTAAACTCATTCTCTTCCAGTTTTCTTTTAATGGGCATTTAAAAAGATTATTTGCACACATCATCAGTGAGAACATAAAACAACAAGCCCTCAGATGTTTGTAGTCAGAGCTGAACCTCTGACCAGCATGGTTCTGAGTCAGCAAAGCTTATACCAGGCCAGCTTCAGAAAAAGGATGTATAAAGCACCTAAACCCAAAACTTCACACCAGCACTTTCCAATGTGCTCTCTGGGTTCCACGAATGGGACAGAATGGTTTCTACCTCTTCTGTAGGGGACAGAGCAGATTAAACTCCTATCAAAGAGCAGTCATGGTTATTTTTTTCTTGAAACCATAGCAGTTAAACTTTTCCCCCTCTGACTTCTTTTTTTGTTCAGGGTTCACAAAAAATAAAGTATTTGCCCCCAGCCCAGGTTTGTGCCTTTCTTTACCTGAGCATCCCTGTAGGCCATGGGCTGTGTTAGGTCGGACATTTCCTCCCCTCTGCATACTCTGGCCCTGCTGTGGGCTGGTGTACAGCAAGGACAAAGTTTAGGGCTGAAGGGAAAGCAAGCACTGTAATCTGGGAGTAACAAATTGTAGGTTTGACAAGGGGCTTGTCAATTCTAAGAGACAATAAGTAAATTTGAGTTCTGACTGGTATTGTGATCCAGTTCCTCTGTGGTCAGTGCAAAACTTGACTCCGTTTACTTTAGTTCAGAACTCAGAAGAGGGAATAGTATCTCCCCTGATTTTGAGTAATCCCATTTGTGTGAATGCAGAAAAACTATGAGCACCTGTTGCATTGCAGTTCCCTGTGTTTGTGGTTATTTGCACTCCAGTTTTGTGACACTACTTGACCCTTCTCGGCTGCTGATGTAGGGAAAAATCTTACTCTTTCCTAGCTATACTGGTTTCTAATGTCTAAGGATGCTTACTGATCTAGTAAGGTTATTATTGCCATGGGCAGAAAGAGGAATCAGAGCAAAAGCAACATTTCAGAGACTGGAAATACAAGGTTTTGTAACATCATACAATTTTGCAGAATATCTTTCCAGAGTGGACTGAACTATCAAAGACGGGTTTGGGGCATTTTCTTGATAGATGTATACCTGTGCTACAGAACCTGCACCAGGAACTTAAATATTTCCCTTTTCTGGTCCTTTTTCAGACTCCAAAATGAACTTGGATGATTTCATCAGTATGAATCCCAATGTGGGATGGGGCTCAGTGTTCCCCCTTCCGGACTTTGTGCATCGATTTGGCAGACAGACTGATTACAGCTACTCCTTGGAAGAACAGTGAAGTGAACAAGGAAGTTCTGCCTGCTTCTGTTTCGAGTGGATGTGTTGTGTTTTGCTGCTCTTACATTGTGTTTATAGTTTACATTTCTGTACATGGAATAATTACTTGGAAAAATAGAATACCCAGTCAGAAATATCATGAACTGAATAAAAACTTTTATTTTGATTATGTAAGAATGAACTTGTTTTTTAATGTCAAATCAAAGGCAGACATCCCACCATAAGCATATTGCTTTTCCAGCTAGTGTGCCCAAATTGAGAAGAGCTGTAAGAAAAGGTTTTGGAAAAATATGTGCATAAAATACTGAACATTGTAGCTCAAATTGCTGCAAGTTGTCACATTTTAGAATTGTGATAAAATGTGTTTTCTTCATGTTATGATTTCTGTCACTTATGTAAGCAGACGGTGTGTCTCAGTTTACTCACTGGCTTTACTGATTAGTCCTTATTTAGCAGAAGCCTAAAGGGAACGTTGATGTAGTAGCCCAGTCTTGAACTCCCATGCACTATGTAAAACCAGGTGAGTATCCAGGTTTCTGTGCTGTACGAGGGCAGGATTAAATCCTGCCATTTCAGTTACATGTTCCAGTGCTGACATTACTGGAAGATGCAGTTGCTATTTTTGCTTCTCAGGCTGGCTGTGTGTTTTCACCTGCTCCAATCTTCTTGTGCTCGGTGTTAGTCTGGCCCCGTGGTAATCCAGGGTAGGAAGCTCAACTGACAAAACCAGGAAAGTTTGTTGGGTTTTTTCCTGCGCCTTAGCTCCTTGAGCTGGCCTGCCATGAGGTCAGACAGCTGCTCCTGCTGGGGTAAGGAAATCAGCAGGGCCATATGGCTGGGGGGAAGGGAATGAGAAAGCCTCCCCCATCAGGGTCACCTGCTGCTGAGTATTCTTAGAGGTGATACCAAGCTGCATCCCTGCAGGGCATCCCAGGAAAGCCATCATGCTGATCAGGGGTTTGAAGCAGTCTCCCACCTCTTAGAAGAGTGGCCTAAACGTGGAATTACAGAAGCAGGCTAAGATGGGATATTTAATTCTCAGCTTTGGACCTGTTCTACTTTGCCCAGTAGCACATCATAGAATCACAGACTGGTGGAATAATTCAGGTTAGAAGAGTCAGGCAGTCTCTAGTACAATCTCCTGTTGAAATCAGGTCAGACCAGGCTGCTCAGGACTTTATCCAGTCAGGCCTTGGAAACCTACTGGGGTTGAGACTACAATAAACATTTGTGATGGACTTCAGTCCTGGTGAGGAAGAGCACAGTAAAGGTTTTAAGTATTAAGGGATTGTTTTATTTGTAAGTACAGAAAAATATAAAAACTACAAAGAAACTTCTATGTATATTACTGTTACAGAGGTGTATTGTTATATACATACTGTATTATTGTATGTCCCATCAGTTCCAGAGAATTTACTCAGCATGTTAACAGTGGACACAGCTGATTGAACAACTGGGGAGTTGATTCACTTCATCCACACATCTCTTTCTGTGTCATAAGGGCTGCTTAATGTAATAATAAGGAACTTAAACTTTCTGTTGCCAGATGCAGCACAGCTGGTTGGCTATGCAGACAGGCTGCTGCCACACGGATTCCTTGGGTGCCAGCACAGACTATGGATAGGAGGCTGGTTGTTGGGGCACTCACTTGTGGAGTGGGAGAGTTGATCTGCAGTTTTTGCCACTCTGAACCAGCTTCAATAGAAGAGACTTAGATGATGAATCTCAGGATTCCTGACAAACTGTTGCACAGAACCCTCCTGAGAGGAGACAGCTCTGGATTTAACCAGATACACCTGAGTAAAAGGTCTGATTTAGCCATGTTTGGATGAAATGGCAGCTCTTTCTATATGACACTGATGTGGCAGACATGCTCTGAGTGAATGAAGATGTTGTTACTTGCCATTTTTGAGTAATGTTAATAGTGGCTGTGACTGTGCAGAGCAGCAGCAGCAGTTTGCCTGCTCAGCTCTGTGCAGATGCCAACCCAGTGCCTGGTTTAGACATGGCAGAAGTGAGAATATAAAGATCCGTGGTTGAGGTGAATGGGTTACGTCAAGCACTTCTTACCCTTCAAGTGATTGATTCTCATACACACAGAGTTCCTGTGCATTGCTCAATAGACCCTCTAAGTTGTTACAGAACGTTAGGTTCTCATCCCTCCCTACTTGAGTGTGTCATTTGATTTAACCTCAGCTGGTTTCCGGTGCCTGAAATCCATGACACACTCCCTTTAGTGGGGGTCAGACACAAGAGTCTACCTGGTTTAATCTAGTTTCAGCATCGAGGCTAGTAAGGAGAAGAGTCACAACCATTATTCAGAATATGCAAGTTAAAAAAAAAATCAGTGTGAAGAGTCTGTTCTTCTTCTCTCTAATCATTCTGAACAGGTGCTTAATTTTACATGTAGCAGGCTGGGTGTGTGTGATGATAGCTTTTCTATAATTAACAACCTTTTGGTAGCTCTTGTAAAAAGTTGTTATTCCAGAGGAATCGGTAGAAGCCAGAGAATGATTTCTTTCAGTGCTGAGAATGGTGATATTGTGGTGCTGTCTGTGGGGCCCCTCAAGCCTGGGAGCATTTCATCAGCATTTCAGGAGGTGTGCTATCAGAAAGACAGAATTCAGGAATACATCAAGTGCTCATTTAGGGCCCCAAATACAAAGAGGAGCTACTTTCTTAACTGTAACTAGCAGAAACCAGCCCTTTTCTAATGCTGATTAATTCTGTTGTCCCCCCATCAGAGGGACTAAGTGAATTCCCCCCTCTCTTTTATCCCTTCTCTCTCCAAGTAACCCCAGTCCTGACTATTTTATGGAACCTGCTGTGTTTAACCTCTCTGCTGTCCCCTCATATTAAGGTGTGAGGTTTTTTCCCACTGAGCACCACAGTAAGTTGCAGAAAGATAAGCAAAGTTTTCTGAGAGTCACTTTGCCGTGTGCCTGCAGGAGGACAAAGAACTGCCGCTGTGAAGCTGATGGCGAGGAGTCAACTTCACTGCCAGACATCACTAATTATCAGCTCTGTGATCACTGATGTATTTAAACACCTGAGATTCAAGCAACTTTATACCACAGGTGTATGTATATGTGTGGGGTGCACTGTACGAGAGGGCATGACTTGGTGGTCCTCGGTACAGCTCCAGGCTGGCTGCAGCCACCCTGGTGATGTGGTGCTTGGGGAGAGCCTCACTTCTTGATGCAGGGGTGCTGGGCTTATGCCACTTTGAGATATGAAATAATATGAAAGCTTTGACATTCCTGTAAGGCTGTTTGGCTGGGATGCACTGGCATAGTAGGGTCAGCATGTGCACACCTACAGTCCATGCTGTCCATAGCCCTCGAGGCTTTTAATCTTCCCTGCGTCCAGATGTTGTCCCAATGTGTCCAAGACAAAAATATGCTGCTTATGCACCTTTCAGTACAATGATTTCTTAGTGCAGCTTAGTTTTCCATTCCCTTTCAGCCTTCTTTACTTCATCCTTTCCCACAGTGTCTTTCTGTTGTCCAGTTATTACAGTGTTTATGTGCTGAGAGCCCTTAAGTGGTGGCTTTCTGGACTAGGTGACTCTTGAGTCAGGCATTGAACAAAGCAGGGAGAAACCTTCTGCCTTTAGGTCAGTTACTCTCAATCCCATGGTCTCTCAGTTTCTGGATTCAGTTCATCCACACATCTCATCTGGCCACTGGAAATTCTCCAACACCTGTACTTCTAGACATCATAGGGCAAGATCCTGCTAGCCTTATAATGAGGGGCACATCCTATCTCACGGGTCTCCATCAGGCTATTGCAGCACTAAACTGCAGCATGAGATGGAACACCTGTCTTCTTCCTCTTCTTTGCTGCTGCATTTTACTTAAGAATATAGTTTATTTGATAACTAACCTCTTTTATTTACCTGTTTGGGACTTTAGAAAAAGAAAGGCTGCTTTTTCCTGGCACGCATTTGCTTGGTCAATGCATTTTTGCAAACTTGTATGTGACCAGGTTTGTCTTGAGAAAATCCCATTTCTCAGTTGGCCAGCAGAGAGAGCAGTCAGCATTCAGTGGATGGGCAGGTCGGGACAGAGATGATCTCCTGTACACTCAGCCTTGCCAGTAGCTGTTACAGTTAAAAAAAATAATTCTGACAGTATTGCAGAGGTGATTTGTATCTCAAAATGTTGCCCTTGCCTGCCTGAACCTGTAAGGTCAGTGCAAGTCCTTCCTGCGCATCAAGGGCTATATGCCAGCATCCAAACCACCTGCCAGTTTTTGGGGGACATTCACAATCCCTACCAAAATGGGTGTGGGACACCTTAGAATGTCTGACCAATTGCTTTGCTATCAATTTATTGACTTTGGAGGCTAAACTTGGGTACCTGGGATGCTGCAAACTGATCTGGACTGTTAAGGACGCAAAGGGACACCAGGGTGAGATCCTGATCGGGACATTTTGACCTATATGGCCTCCTCATACCCTCATTGTCCAGCTAGAGCCTCATGTGTGCTCTGAAGCACCATTGATCTCCAAGTATCTACCGTAAAATGGCCATCTCTAGGGCCTGGTTGTTTGGGGTTTTTTGTTAGAACAAGTTTGGTCCAAGTTTTCTCATTTTCCATGGTTTTTTCACCCACCTTTTCAGGAAACAAGGGTTGTAGACTGAATGACCTGAGAAAGCTGTACTAGGGAATGGGAATGAGGTGTGAAAGTCCCACTGTGTCTGTACAGTAGTCACAGTTACCTCCCACTAAGTGCCTTGCAGAACCGTTACTGAGACACTGTCGATTACCCGATTACCCGGGGAGTGGCTGTCGCTTGTGCCTGGCACGAGCCACGCTGCTGGAGGGGAGGACCTGCAGAGCATCAGTTCACGCATCACCTGGCAGAGCAGATGGCTCCAGGTCTGGTGGGGCTGCCCTCATATGACACCTTGGATTCATAGGCTTGGAGAATCTCATCTCCTCTCGAGGTGAAACCTGTCTGGACGTAAAACACACATTCAGGTAATTACCTACTCAGAGATTTGAGGGAGGGAATGCCAGGTGATTTTCTTCTCCCTTCCGGCTTCCTCCTTATGCAGGAGTTGGCCCAGTTGAGGCCAAGGTTAGTGAAGTGTACCCAAAGAGGGACTGTCTGGAAACTTCTGCCCAGGTTTGTGCCCGCTTCCCTATGGAGCTCACCTTTCTGGGAA